TGATTGTATTTGATATAATCCAATAAAACTTATAATTGTCTTAAATAATAACAATAAGAATATTCATCGAAATATCACAATCATATGTATTTTAAGTCTTAATCAATGTGTCACAAGAAACTTTTTCGTCACTCTTGATATACCACAGTTCGCAACATTCAAACAATGTTTTATTTACAATCACTCATTACATAAAACAACATATAACACCACGTTGTTGCGACACTCGTCACACCAACTTGCTATTGTACAAAATAAGCAGTTTTGCTTGCATTGGACACAACTCTACCCACTTTTGATATTCACATCAGAGCACCACAAACACCCAAAAGTCTCTGAGATTTCACCACAATTAGTAATGTTGAACACACTCTCAGAAACTCCATTACATTCATGAAGTATTTGTTATTACTCTTTCACAAATATGATTATTTTACAAATCAAACATTATTATTACACTTTTGAAAAATTTTCTTGTAAACATAATACCAATCTACACATCGAATACATTGCCCACTTGCGTCATATAAATTGTAGATGCCTTCAGGTGTAGATTTGACACTTCCAGTTTTATTAAACTGTACCTGTTATGCAACTCTGACACTTCTCGGTTTTCTCTTTTTAATCTGAACAATTTGTGTTGCCTTTACTATATTTGTTTTCGTTGTTGATGTAATATCTATTTGCACATTGGAGTCACCCAAACAATGAAAACATTCCAGAGTCATCACATTGGGTGATGGTGCCTTTAAAAAAATATTCCATACAACAGAACATAACTATATTCACAATGACAACACATGTTTTCATTAAAAAAAAGTGTTGTCTTTGTGCAATGAAAGCTTGGCACTTGAAATTCTAAGACAGAAAATATCCACGAAGCATTCTGAAATTTTTTTATAGTACTTAGAATTTTTGATTAAAATGACATATTCGTGTGAAATATCATTTCTTGATACCAAATATCAAGAAATGCATAGGTACACTTCTTTTTGTCACACAACTCGTAATTTAATTAAATCTTTTACACAAATAGCACGTGTTGTATTTATGCTGTACATCTCATCAACCTCTGTCATATCGAAGTTGTATGAGATGTATAGAATGTCACAATTTCAATTTTATATTTGTTGTCTTTTTGTTGATAACAATCAGTGAATTACACAATTTGATGATATATTTCGTAAATCTTGATAAACTAAATCAATTGATAATATTGAAACACTTGGAACACTAATTTGTTGTTATCTGGCATATCATATTGACAGTATCCATTGTTAAAACCACAACAAAAGTTTGTAACATATTTTAAATAATTAAGTCGTGAAAAAAAGTTTGGCTGTTTTTTGAATAATACATAAAACTATAATTTTACCAAAAATTAAAGAATGTAAAATAAAATCAATACAGTAAAACCTCCCAAGAGCGGTACCTCTGAAGAATGGGTTCTCTCAAGAACGGGCATTTTTTAGACTAAAACTATAAATAGAGTTCTCTATCGAGCGGTAACTAAGGTTTGATTGGCTAAAAATGCCCGCTCTTGAAAAACAAAATTACCAAGCCCTTCCGCTTTTGAGAGGTTTTACTGTATATAAAAAGCGTGGCGATGTATTTCAACAAATAAAAACAATTCAAAGTAAATGCCACGAGTGTCGAACCTACTGTATTTATGCAATATTGTATTGTACTACCTTTCAATTTTATTTTTATTTTTTTGGACAATTCATAACCAATAAAAAAGTTTCGGTAATAAAAGAAATGATAAAATAATTGATTATTAAAACATTTTTATCTTATAAGTGTTTATTTTGTTTTACTTAACATGAAGTAAATTACATCAATAAATTCAATGACAACTTACACGACAACCTTAAATTTGTTTTTTTCAATCTTTTCTCTTTTAGGTCGTTTTCCAATTTCAGGTGAACTTTTAAGAGGGGATGGTGCCTCAAATGTGTCGAACAATTCTGGTTTTTCAATCAACACTTCTTCATTTGATTCGGTATGTTTGAGTAACTCTCTTGGGCTATCGACTTTTTGGACTTGACACTTTTTATGGAACTCCAGAATTTCCTTTTTTAATTTTTCATTCTGTTCTGCTGTTTTTGATGTTCGATATGTTTTCTCCTTTTCTCTGTACTTCACAAACTTGTGAATGTTCTTTGAGAATCTGTTCTTGTTTTTATTTTTCTCTTTCTCTTCATCGAAATCGATCTGTGACAATTTAGAGAATGTATTAACCTTTTTCGTCTTTTTAGAACTTTTTGATAACATAGTATTTTCCTCCTTTTCAAAAAACTTTTCCCTTGGACTTTGTAAAGATCGTGGACTTTGAATTGGTGTGTTAAGAAAATCACTCAGTTTGTTATCATCAGATGCTCTCAATATTTTCCTCCCAAATACTTCTTTGTATTTCTCTTTAGAAAACACTTCATTGCTTGTGTCGAACACAAACTCAAATCCATTGATGATTTCCTCTATTGCAATAGTGGCGTACCCACAGTCGACCAATTCAGTCTTTTCACAAAAGAGTAAACAGGGAGAAAGACATATTGCAAGATTTTTAGCTGGCATCAAAGCTGGTCCTTCTTTAATTTTGACTGCCAATTCCACGAAATATCTAAACACTGTTGAAGCAATAGGAAGTGACGAAAGAACACACTTCACTGCAGAGAGAAATGCTTTCGATGGTGTAGAGTAGTCTAATATTGGATTAAGGTATGGATTCTTCTCATAAGGGATATTTTCATTTTGTTTTTCTTTGTGTTGGTTCGAC